AATCGCCTCGTGGCGGCCCAAGGGGCCCCCAAGAGGGCTCCCAGACGACCCAAGAAGGCCCCAAGACCACATAACAATCCGCCAGAACAGCCCAGGGGGACCCCAGGACAGCCCCAAGAGGGGGACCAAAAGGGGAACCTAAACAGACATTTCGAGCCTTCGACCCCAGAACGCCCCCTGGTTGCACCAAAGAGCCCCCAACAGGCCCCCAGAGAGCTCCAAGAGGCCCCCCAAGAAGAACCCAGGAGGCCCCCAAGAAGTTCAAAAACTGCCTCCCGAACGCCCCCCGGACGCCCCCCACGAAACCGCATTTGCCATCCAAGCGGCTTAAGACCCGCAGCCCAAGCACTGTGGCCGGATATGCCGAGGGCCATTCAATTCGCCGGCCCAACGGGCCAGGGCGTGCTAAGATCTCCGGTAACTGGTTAACAGTATTAACAGTATTTCTAGTTCGCGCGCGCGGGGCGGCCCCTGGGGGTCCCCCGGCGAAAAGTACCCCGACCAACGCCCGACCGCCGCCCGACCGCCGCCCGACCAAGTCTACTCAGAGATGGTTTTCCTTCTGGGTGCGGCCTCTCAGGCTCCCCAGAGCGCGCTCAGAGTGCCCCAAGAGGCCCCCAAGACTGCCCAAGAGGCCCCCGAGACGCCCAAAGAGCGCTCGAAGACGCCGAAGATGACCCCAAGACGGCCCAAAAGGCCCCCAAGACAGCCCAAGAGGCCTCCAAGACGCCCCAAGAGCCTTCCAAGAGGCCTCCGAAGAGAGCCCCAAGAGGCCAAAATCGTTGATTTTCATTTGTTTTTTCTATGTTTTTTGTGTTCTGGCTTTTTCGGCTTCCGGACGCTCCAAGACGGCCCAAGAGGCCCCCAAGACCGCTCCAAGACGGCCCACGAAGCTCCCAAGACGGCGCCGAAACGACCCAAGAGAGCCCTCAAGACGGCCCAAGTGCCGCCCAAGACGGACCAAGAGGCCCCAAGACGGGCCCAAGAGGGACTCAGGAGGGATACCGAGAACTCAAAAATGGAGCCCTCCGTCCCAGAAGGCGCCCAGGAGGTCCCAAAGAGGCCCCAAGAGGCCTCCAAGAGGCCCCAAGATGTCGCCAAGAGGCCCCAGGAGACTCCCAGGAGGCCCAAAAGAAGCCCCAGAAGGCTTCAAACATGTCTCCCAGGCGCCCCCGAACGGCCTCTCAACAGACCCCAAGAGGCCCCCCAAAGAAGCATCTTGACGACGACTCTATTTCGCCCCATCGAGAGACGACCCCCAGGGAACTGCTTCACCATCAAAACTCCCCACGCAACGCGTCCGAACGACACCCGCCCCCAAGAGCGCAACATGGGCAACGAACACACAGACAAAAACCAGCGATGCCATATCACGGGCCGGCGGAATGAGCGAAGCGATTCAATAATCGTTCCTTCTTGGTTTTTGTTTACAAAAACCCACCGTTTGTAAACGTGGGGTCTCGCCCGTTCCCCTATGCTTGCACGGCGATGGCCGAAAATGTTAGCCGCAGACATCACTACGGCTGGTGCAGGCGGGGCCCCGGGGGGATCTTTCGCGCGCGCGCGATAGAATGTCCAAGAGGGCCCAGACACGCCCCGCATCTCGCTCCAAGACGCCACGGCGAACACTGAGAATGAGGTCGTAAGAGAACTTCGAATAAACCTCCGTAAGGCTCCGAATTGCCGCCTCGTGGCCCTTGAAAGGCCCCCCATCGACAGCATCGTGGCCGGCCCTCGCCAACCCATTCCCGCATCTCTGCGCGCGCTCTTCCTACCCAAAGGGGGCCCCGACGCGCCCCATATTTCGCTCCAAGACGCCCGCGACGACTCCAAACCGTGTCTGACATATGCCCGCCGTCTGTAAAGGTGAGTTCCCGCCCGTTTCCCGATGCGCGCACGGAGAAGATTGGGAATATAAGCCGCATGAATGATTATTGGCGGCGCGGGCGGTGCCGCGATTGCCTGGGGCCCCGGGGGAATCATGTGCGAACGCGCAGTGCACTGCCAAGAGGGCCCCGTCCAAGACGCCCACGACGGGCCCAAGACAGCCCCAGAAGCCCCGAAAACGCTCGGCGAGCATCCCACACAGCTTCCCAAGAGAATTCCAAGGGCCAGCCCCGTGAATGTCCTATGGGTAATGAGCGTTTTCTGCTATCAGAAGCTTCTTTCAGCCCAGGGCGTTCCCACGACCGCGCCACAGCGGCCCCACAGGCCAGCAAAAAGGCCCCGAACCGTTGCACGAGGCTTCGAATACTGCCGCGATTGCTGGGGGACCCAGGGGAATCCTTCGCAAACGCGCGGTGCACGGTCCAAGAGGGCCCCGACACGCCCCACATCTCGCTCCAAGACGCCCACGACGGCTCCAAAACGTGTTTGACAGACGCCCGCCGTCTGTACAGGTGAGTTCTCGCCCGTTTCCCCAATCGTGAACGGCGAACACTGGGAACGTCAACCGCAGACATCACAACTGACGGTGCGGGTGGTGCCGCGATTGCCGAGGGCCCCTGGGCACTCATTCGCGAGCACGCCGTACACTGTCCAAGCGGGCCTCGACACGCCTGACATCTCGCACCAAGACGTCCACGACGGCTCCAAGATGGCCCGAGAAGCCCCGAAACGACTTGACCAAAGCCCCGCACAGCTTCCCCAAAAGGCTTTCGGAGGCCAATTCCGTCAGTGTCCCACGGGCTTTAAAAAGTACACGTTGCGACATCATCTGGATAATTTTCGGGCGCGCCGCCATCACTGTTGCATTGTTGTTTTGCACGGCGGCGAAGGGTATTAGATTACCCCGTGCGTGCAGGGCCACCAGAGGCCCCCATGAAGCGCCCAAAAGGACCCCAGAAAGCCCCCCAAAAGAGCCCAACAAGCCCGCAGGAGCAACACGCCACAACCGCCAGTCACTCAAGGGGTCGGCGGTGTGGCGTAAGCCCAAGAATAAACTAGTACCAACCCCAACCTGGGCGCTCATGCTGACTCCCAGAACGAACGTATACTCTTCAGACATTCATTAGTTGTCTGAATTGTTTTTTAAACCGCTGTACGCATAGAAGCCCGTTGACGGCTCAAGATGGCTGGTAACTGGTACCACTTGTTTTTTTTGTTTCCGGCCGGTTGAGAAGTGGCCAAGTCGATTGTAAGTTGTACCATTCGGTTGGGATTGGTCCGACATGAGGTCGTAACCTCCCCCCCAGGGGTGGCCCCCCCTGTGAGCAAGGGGAACACAAGAACCCCCCCCCTTCCACCCCCCCTTCTCTCCCTCCTGGTCCCCCTGTGGACAAGGGGGACGGAAGGGTGGTCCCTTGTGGACAAGGGGAACTCAGGACCCCTGCCCCCGCCTCCCCGCTGTGGGCAATGCAACCACCACCACCACCACCACCCCTCCTTCAGGACAACCCGCCCCAAGAGGCGCCCTCCTCACTCGTATCTACTGTTGTGGGGTGTTGCGTATATCTTTGCATGCCTCTAAGAATCCTCAGATCCGATGCGGCTCCAAGTGACCACGAAGCTTCCCAAGAAGTCCCCCAAGAGGCCCCCAAACAGAGCCCAAAAGGCTTGCAAGACAGCCCCATGAAGGACTCCAGAGCGTCAGCGTCGTCGTCGTCGCCGCCGCAGCCGTCGTTGTCGTTGTCTTCCTTCAAGGTCCGCGGCACTGGCCGTAAGGCCTTTGCAATAATCAACTCTACCTGAGAGGCACTGACAATCAGAGCACAAACCGGTTTGCGGAGCACCCTGGTCGCCTCCCCTTGGGAGGCCCAAGTGCCATGCCTGATACGTCGCCATCGCGGTAGCGGAAATGCCTAAGATGTCTTGGTAATCTGGGCACGAAACGGCCCGTGGACCACCCCTTGTCGCCACTCCGTGTCATGACCAAATGACACGCCTGCTTCATCGCGATGATCACGAGCATGAGTGAGGCATCAGCGAGGCTGTCAACGCGTGAGTGTAAGCATGAGTGCCCAGGTGTGAGTGAGTCTGCGGATGAGCGAGTCGGAGTACGAAGGAATCCACAGAGTGGGTGAGCCTGAGTATGAGTAGTCTGAGTGCGACTCTAAGTGTGAGCGAGACGATGTGCGAGTGAATATGAGGCGGACTGAATCCAAGCACGCGTGAGTCTGAATATGAGTGAGTCTGAATCCATGCCACTTCTTAACGACGCCCAGAGAACATTCGCTCCGAATCGGGCAAGTGAGTCTGAGTGCGGGCAGGGGGCGGGGGGGGGGGGGCAATTCTCGACGCCGACGGCGTTCGGAGGGCGAGGGCGGGCGGGGGGCCTAACCCAGGCCGACGCCATCGCGCTGCCCCCCCCTCTCCCCCAAAAGATGACCTCAACATAACAAATACTATGGACTGTGGCCGTACTTTCTGCCAGCGTCCATGTCTGAAGCAGCATTGCGTGTTGATGCCTGGGCGATTGGGATTTGAGGTTGCTCCATCTGCGAGGGGTGCTTTCGTCCTGAGAGGCGTGTGCACACTATGACACGCCTCTCATGCGCTCATCGCTGCAGGAACGAAGCACTTGCGAAGAAAACTACGGGATCGCCTCCAGTCGCCCTCAATCGATCAAATTCTTCGTCGTCGTCATCTACCGCGCATCATGCTCAGCATCGTTACCATCATGTCCAACGTCTTCATAAACTTGATCGCCTTCGTCCTCGATGTCGTCACCACCATCATCGATAGCGCCCCTGATCTTACCAGCATCACCGTCATCGTCGCCGCCATCTGTACCAATATGGAAACCATCACCTGGGCCACTGTCGTCATCATATCTCCCGCCCTCGTCCTCGTCGTCATCGCAACTCCAACTGCAACCTTCGGCCCTCACAATTCTTGAACTGCCACCTCACGTCGCCGCCCATCGCCACTCGTCGCATCTCCTCCCCACTCTCCTGCCATTGGCGGCGCGGCCCTGTGAGAGGGGAGCCCCGTCGTGCAGGATTCCGAGAGGGCTTCGCAGATGGCAGAAAGAGCGCGGCCAGATTCTCCCCCCTCGCTCTCCTCCCAACTCCGTCACGCGGGTCATTAACTAACAGCGGGCGCGGCATGACCAGGTTGTCTGGCCCCGCGCCAGGCTACATAATGGTCAGCCGAACTGTTCCGAACACATTTGTGCTATCCACAACGCACGGCTGCGTAATGAAGTGAACCGAGAAGCCGTACGCCGTCTGGCGCTTGGACAGGTGCTTACATTAACAGTGCAGAACGAAAAAACAAGGCTACGAGGTAGGTGATAGCACCACGCCTCTCCTGCATCGCTGTACGTGCTGGAAGGTTGAAAAACGGCGGCGTGGGGACTCGATTGTGCTGTCTGCCATGCGCGGAAAGGCGGACACGCGGCGATGTTGGGAGATAGAAACAGCGAACACCCGCGGGCGCGAAATTTCCACTGGCGCTGGACCCTCGCGCCCACACTTTTCAACGCCGCCCCAAAGCGTCAAGGAGGTGGCCTGTCGCTGGTGGAGACCTGCCGTTCGCGGCCGTGTTGGGATTGCGTGTGTGTTCCGTGCACCTCCGGCCTCTTATTCTCCGCCAGTGCCATTCGGTCTACGTCAATGGTTTCGGTTCTAGTGGTCTAGTCCGTTCTCCGTCACCCGCACAAACACTCACAATGTCTTGTGCCATGAGGGCGCGGTATCGTATTCGCAGCCCTCCGGGCGTAAAGGGTCCAGCGCGTCAACTCTTCCTCAAGAATGGCGTCGTCCAATCAGAGGATGGCTCAACCGCTCCCCCCCTACTGAGGGTCTGGACCAGGAGGGCCGCTTGTAAAGAGTGTCCTAAACGCCCCGCGATGGTTCCACGATGGACACGGATAGCCTCCGACACGGCGCAAGATGGCCCAAGCTGGCCTCGAGCAGGCCTCAGGAAAGCCCCAAGGGGTCTCAGAAAGTGGTCCCAATCTCTCCTACGGACTCCTCTGCATCCCTCTCTTCGTTTTCCCCCACGATCGCCTCCTCCTCCCCCTCCTGAAAACAACCCCCCGGTTTGTCATGGCGCGCACTTTGACCAGGACCAGATGGTTCGGCGGTTTTCGGAGGAAGAATGTGGGGGAGGAGGAGGCTGAGGATCCGACTTAACCGAGGCTTCAACAACGATGTTGCAATACATCCTCCTGTCCCACGTCTCCTCCTCATTATGACGACGACGGTAAGAATAGTTTTTCAAAACAGAAATTGGCCAATTGAAAGATTAGCATCCAATGCGTCTGCCTCTCAAGCAACACGTTTTCTTGAAAATGGTCAAGTATCTAATTTTTGGGCTGCAAGAGGTGCAAGACTGAATGTCAATCATGCCAACAGCATTTCCAACAAGTGCCCGCTTCATAACTGAGTCGCCCACTATCCGTGTGGTGAATTCTCGACTGTCGAATGAAAGTGTTGCCGCTTGGAAAAATTGGTGCACGACCTGAGAATGCTTTGGGAGGTCTTCAAAGGAGCTTTTCCTGAACGAGCACTGAGGCCCCGCAGTTGGGAAAGCCAAAAGGTACATGTACCGCTACTCCTCAGACCTTTTCCAGGGTGCTTTCTGACTAGGATTTCAAGGCGAGTCCAGCGGTGGCGACGAAGGTCTCCCAGGAGGCCCCAAAAAGGGAAAACGGGCGAAGGGGTAGAGGTATAGGTACCTTTTCCACACCTGAGCAATGGCCACCGCATACATCGTAGCAGAGAGTATGGGGAGACAGCGAACACGATGTCTAGATTCAAACGTGGTCGGCAAGATGGCCTCATGCACTCTGGCATGGGGCACCACGTGGAATTGGACAATATATTGGGTTCAGCGTCTGGCCTAAGCTGGCGGGACGTGCGTGACAAAAACTGTGCACTCTCGGATTGGATGAACATGTGACCAGAGTTCGAGCATCGCATTTGCAACGCGTGGGACTTATTCCACGTTCACCAGCCCTTTTGCCCGCCGCAGCATTCTGCCAATTTCGCCAAAGCGCCAGCGACCAGCCGACCACGAGTTGGAGGAACTGCCGGCCCACCATGGGGAAGGAGCGACGGAGCTGCTGCTCCAGAGAGGACCGCGCAGATTTCCAACCTATGGTAGGCCTAGCCAACGGGGAAATCACACTGACCAACCCTCAACTCTAACCTCTGTTCGTCAGAGTGGCCCAAGGTATATTTCAAGTATTGGACAAGGGCTAGATACTTGCACAGGACATCGATGACGCCATCCTCTGGAAACCTTCCTTCCTTCCTTCCGAGTCGTACACCAGGCGGTGCGTGGACAGACAGAGCGCGGAAAATGCAATGGACAAAGCAGCTGGATAATCACAGTAAGAGAATGTGATGGCGCAGCGTGCGCTTCCAGTCTGATGCAGACTGCGCAGCGTCTACCGTCGCATGAACATTGCCGAATATCCCAACTGATTGCTTCAACACGATGGGATCGAACTCTCTGCTCGGCGCGCCACTGCGCCTCACTCCGGCAGCAGTCGCCGGCGTGAGAGAATCCGGTGCGAACGTGGCGCGGTGAAGCAGGCTGTTCTCACTTGAGCGCAGCACGTCGCCGAACTGAAGCATCTGCTGGTCTAGTAGCAGGGTGCTGGCACCCGTGTGCTGCGCACGGTTCAGCACTTCAGCGTTTGGTACTCTGGACAAACATGACGGCTTGATGCCGATGATCTTTCTGATGCACCTGTTCTGGAAGCTGTCCAGACGACGTGTTTGGGCTTTGTTCAAGCATGCTCCAGCGAGCCCGTAAAGCAATTTCGATTCCACCACTGAAGAGAAAATGCGTACTTTGCGTCTCCAATCAGAGAGAAATAAGACTACAATGTATTGAGCGACGAACACATTCTTTTTTGCCTCGTCGATCTTGCGCCCTGCTTCAGGCCCTGCGTCTGCGTCGGCTGACAGATGCGCACCTAAGTACTGAAGCTGCTTGACTTGCTCGAGCGCCGTGCCATCGGGTGCACAAGCCTTGCGTCTCCTTTCGCCCCCACAGCAAGGGCCTGGAGTTTGTCCCAGTGCGGCTCCATACCATACCGTACCTGCGTCCCGCGTCATATATTGCTTTCAAATGATCATTCAAGAAAGCGCCGTCAGTTCCAATAATCAAGGTGTCGCCCGCGTAGGCGCACTCGCACAAGTCCCCCTTCATGTAAACATCCATCGCTCCAGCACCCAAGAGGCCGACGGCGTCCTGAAGTAGCAGTGTCATTACGGGAAAAAGCAGAAGTGGGCTGAACGTGCGTCCTTGAAAGATGCCGGAAAGCTGCGGCCTCGGATCAGAATCGATACCGCATTCGCTGACGACAAACAGCCTCACAGTCATCATCACGTGAAACTCTTCTGGGATCCCTAGCCACCTGAGCGCGTCCAGCAAGCCGTCGATGTGGATGCTGTCGTACGCTTTCTCCCAAGTCCAGGGCAAAGAGAGTAATAGAGCCATTCTTCTTCGCCCTCGCCGGTGCTATGTTGCGCCTCGCTGCGTAAATGGCGCGTTCCGTACTGCACCCAGCCCGGAAGCCAGGTTCGCCACAACCTGTCGTCGATGCCGGCGTCCAGCAGCCTTGCCTTCAACATCGCTGAGATGATTGACACTGCGACGCACTGCAAAGATAAAGGGCGAGAGTTGTCGCAATTGGCTGGTGGCTGGGTTCCCCTTCTTGTATAGCAGGCACACTTTTCAAGCGCACCATGAATAAGGGAGTTCCTTGTTGTTCCACGCATCTTTACAAATGTCTAACAGCCAATGCAATTGCCCGGGCTCGTCGGCCAGCGCCTTGTACACCTCTGCAAGGATGTCGTCCGGCTTGCGAACTTTCCCAGATCGCATGCGCTGCAAAGCTTTCCGGAGCTCCGCATCTGAGAACATGCCCAATGTGATATTCAAGCGAGGGTGAACAACGTCCTCCGTATTCGGTGTAAGGGTGACGTGTCGCACATGCCACTGGATCGTGTTAAATGTTGTGCGGACGTCTCTGCGCGCTCGTCTGTCGCGACGGGATCACCCGCGCTGTTATTAAACCGGCCTTGAGGTCTCGCTTTCGGCTTCGTGAAGCTTTTGATGCAACCCAATTCGCCAGAAGGAGATCCACGGCTTGTTTGGCGTGCGCACCATGTCTGGCAGGACGGCTTCAACAGCAGCCCAAACAGAGCTCGAAGTAGCTCGCCAGCGTTGGGGCAATAAGCCACAGCGAGACAACGGCGCAATCAACCGTGAAACCTCTTGCGACAAAGACTTCCGTCCAAGTGGCTGGAGCTCCCTTCAATATTTACGCTTGCGCCTCTGCCTCGTCTCCTGTCCAGGCTCTGTCTCGCCGGTCGTGAAATTTGCCAACTCTGGAGACCGCGGGGGTGGAGTAAAATCGCGGACTACTTGGACAACCATACGATGGACAAGCGAAGATCATGGTGCCACCGTTTCCACATATCAAGCGACGCTTGTTTAGACTGTGCTACTTTGCTGCTGCACGTCGACGGCGGGACCGGGCAGACACGTGCTCAGCAGCCGCAGGGTACCTGGGGTGTGTTGTTTCTGATCGCGCGGAGTGCGCCAGAGTTTCGATTGCTATGTCTGGCACGTTTCTGCGGCAGCCACTGTCATCTTTTACTACAGAAACCATCGCCTTAGACGAGGCTGCACAAGCATTGGCAACCACAGCCGCCTAGCAAAATGCTAGCAGCCGTCAGCATGCTGACCAAGGCCCCAGAGAAAGAAAGAAAGAACGGACAACATACACACACACCCGTACCCATACTGTGGACGGAGGGAGAATGGGTGCGCGTTGTCGGGTGGGGGTTCCCGCTCTGACGGGAGCCCCCCCAAGGGCCCGCGAACCCGCACCTATACCCATAATTGCCCACGTCCCTCCGACCCCCCAGTGGGTATGGGTGTGTGTGTGTGTTGTGTTAAACGATAACATGTGTTAAGCCACAGTCCACCCGAGTGGATAATGATTCGACGAGTGTGAGCGGCGTCGCCGCGAGAACCACATTTTGGAACCAACTCGCCATCCATGCGAATAAGTCTTATGAAAACGCGCGGCTTTCAAACGACAGCGGGAATTGACAACCATTCGTACATCGTCCGTGTAATTGTCGGGTTGTCGGGTTTATTTGGTGCGGGCAGTCGAAAGTGAGCCTGGTAGGTCAAATGACATCCGTCTCCATGGGAGGCGGATGAGCTCACATTGCATCCAATTCCATGTCGAAGGAATACGATATGGGGAGTGGATGGGTAGGATAGGATAAGATCGATGTATCGGTCTTTCCAGCACACAGCGAACACTAAGGTAAGTGTCCGGGCAAATAGGGCGCGCGTGCCTTGAGCCAAAGGCAACGGCGCGCGAGCTATGCTCCCGATACTATAACATCTCCCAAAGAGCTACCCTTAAAGTCGGGAGGGGAGGAGACGGAGAGCATAGCCGCCCAGCCGTTAGGCTCT